TTGCAGAGTTAATACCTTTTGCAACATTCCTCAATAACCAATTCCTTGGCATTTCAAAAAAGGTATCTGGTGCAATTTTTCTTTTAAACAAAGGATATTGGCTTGCTATTGTTGCCGTCGATATTTTGTGTTTGTTTATACGACATTCTGAACTCTGTTTACAACGAGAAAAGAATGTAAGGGATGAGAAAAGTACTTGTTCCCTTTTCTGAACTTTGGCATATTTTTTCTTTTGCTGCAAAAGCCCCATAGCTCACAAAGAAACCTAAGATTATGAGAAATTATTTTTCACTCTAATATTTCCCAGAAGGTCACCCTCACTACCTCTCAGAGCTTTAAGATCCTGGACAACACTGAAGCCCCCTCCTCTTTGCCCCAGCCCCACCCCAGGGCCACCCATACCTCCTGCCAGCACCTGGAATTCCTCCAGCTCTGAACGTCAGCTCTGAAGCTCCCCATCACGACCTCACCCGCTATCTTTTCAGTGTCTCAGTAGCTGTCCTCCTTCCCTGCTGATCAGCATCAGTAAGGCTGTTCTCCCAGGGGCTGTGCATGGGAACCAGCAGGGAGCCCGATGCCCAGGCTGTATGCGGGACACCTGTCCTCTGCTCTCATCTCCTGTCCTTGTGCCCTGCACCATCTTTGCCTCACATTCTCCGAGTTTGGTATTTTTTATCTTTTTCAGTCATGTTAGTGGAGTCTTGAATTCAAATGTCAGAAACCACGACAAACTGAATTAACATTTTGACTGCCACCTGATAATCAAGAAAGAATTCTGGCTTCATAAAATGCCTGATCCAAGGATTCTACGCATCAGTTACCTTGTCGTTACCTTTTTTTTTCCTCCTTTTTTCTCTTGATCTTAACTTGGGCTCTCTCCCCAGGTGACAGCCGTGTGAATCATGGTCATCTCCCTGTGACCTTTGTAGCTAATCTCTTGGAGAAAATTCCCCCTTCTTTCCCTGTTGATCCAGCAAACCCCCAAGTCCCATGCCCTCCTCTGAGTCTGTCACTGCAGGAGAGGTTGAGACTCCACCTGGCTCCCATACCGCCCCTGCTCCAAGCCAGAAGAATTGAAACTAAGAATGGGTGAGAGGCGATTCTTCAGTCACTCCAGAGTCCACAATTCCATGCTGCCATTGCGATGGGCTCTTTGTGACACTTTGGGAATAAGTGAGGAGGTTCAGTCCTACTTCATCAATATTATAGAGAAGCTAAGTTTTACACACACACAAAAATGCACACATTTGACTTCTCACCAAGACTCGGAAATGTCCTCTGTTCATTTAGGACTGTGTGAAAAGACACCACAGAAAGTAGTGGATTGAAACAGCATGATCAGGCCTTCACTCACACATGTGCAATTGGGGTTTGGATCCTTCCATGGGCATAAGAGGCGAGGCTCTGCTGGGATCTGAAAAGCTCAGGGCCAGGACACCCGTGTGCACATGGCAGGCAGTGCTGGCGCAGCTGGGAGCTCTGAGAAAGCTAAAGATTAAGACCCTGTAATGTGCTGGGGCTGGATCAGGCCAGCTCATGAGAAAGCAGCTTTTGTGTGATAATTCTCGAACTGTCTATAACTGGGAGCATGAACCACAGAAGTTTACAAACACTGCAAGTCAGAGTTTTGTTTTCTCCTAGGAAGCTGGTTGCTCTGTGTTGTCCAGCTCGTCCTTGCAGGGGGGCTCAGTTCTTCTCTCCGTGTGACACTCAGCCTTCCTCCAAGCAGGGTATCTGGGCTCCAAAGGCACCAGCCCTCTTAGCAAATGTAGACTGCTAAAAAAATTTTAAAATGCCATGAACCAAGTTACTCTAACACTGCCTAGAAGGTCACTCTCACTACCTCTCAGTGCTAAAATTCAAATGCATGTACCTGGAAAAAACAGATTCAGCTGTGTCTACACATAATGTCTACAGTGTAGACACTGATTGTCTACACTGCCACAGTCAGTGGAAAAATCAGGCTGGGGTAGGGGGCTGTGGATCCATATGGAAGTGGGAGTACTGTGAAAAATGTTCGGAGGTAACAAGTTTTTTGTTTAAACTGCAGAATTCTGCCAAGGTTTGGTGCAGCCAAAAAAGAAAAGTGAAAAGAACCATGGAGAAGAACCTCTCTGTTGTAATTTGAGTTTGAGTTTGAGAGTCACCTGGGGGAAGGATGGAGACAATGACAATGACATCCTGTCTTTGGAGACAGCTATACCGCACTTGTCCATTCTGCTGGGCTCACCTGTGGAGGAGGCTAGGACGGGATCACGGCCGTGAGGCCGTCATAGAGCAACGTCCCGGCAGACGGCTCCCAGTCCTGCAGCCAAGCCTGGGAGGGAAGGAGAGCACACACTGCGTTAGGGGCGGGGAAGGCCACCTTTCCAGGGACAGCAGCCACCAGTGACTCTGAGCCAGCTGGAGGGCCTCTGTTCTTCCTGAGCTCCCCAAATCGCTCTGGGCGCTGCATGTAAAGCTGCCGCCTGGGCCACACTTCCGCGGCAGGGCTGCTGCACCTGCTCTCCCTCTTCCTGGACAGTGGCCAGGTTTCTGCAGGCCTCACTCATGGCCCCTCCAGCACTGTTGTAAAGATTCTGGGCATCAGTTGCTCCTCAACGAGCTGACAAAGTCCCCTTGCAGTTAAAACCAAATCCTCCCACTAGTGTGCCAGCCACTTTGTGGCAGGCCCTACGTGTGCTGGGACAGCCTGTCTTTGGAGACAGCTATACCCCCCTTGTCCATTCTGCTGAGACCCACCGATGCCATCACCCAGAAGCCCTTCACATCCTATTGGGGCTGCAGCAGGATACAGCATGCAGTTGGCCCAGCAGGTGGTCTCTCCAGGCCACGCCCCGGTCCCGGGTCCTGAGTTTCATGGGGAGGCCCTCACTACCACCAGTCACAACTGTCAGAGCCTCTGGACAAAGCACACCTGTCCTGACTCATTTAGAACCACACCTATCACGGACTCAGATTGAGGCTCCCACTTCAGGGCATCGCAACACCGGGGTTAAGGGAGTCTCATTTAGCCCATCGTCCCCAAGCCACCAGCCTCCTCAGGTGGCACAGTGGCCTCCTAAAGTCATTGTTATTAATGTCTCTGGATGTGCCATGGACACCCGAGGCACCAAGGTCCTTCCAAGGGCCGTCGCTTTTTTAACTCTCAACCCCATGGCCACCATCGCCTCATCACAATTGGGCTAGACCCACCATGGTGATCACAGAAGAGTTAGGTTCTTTTTCCCTTGGAGATCACATCGTTTACATGTCCTCCAATAATGAGACCACTCCATACCATCACCCCACATCCACCATCTCAATATCAAGCATTTACTGAACAATGGATGGTGGATGGATGGTAAACTATGATCTTCTGAGGACCGATGGCTTAGGTCCACTGGCACCCCTCAGGGCCACAAGGCTTTTGCCAGACCACACCACACATTTGACATACAGTTTTCTGGCAAAAGCTCCCGTTTTTACCGGTTTTAAAGGTTAGCTAATATTTCCTGCTTACTCCTCCAGGCAGGAAGTAGGGATTATTTCTCCAGAACCTACCAAGGGTGCAGTCAGAGGCAGCAAATGAGGAGAAGAAGGCTTCATACTAGAGACATCGACTACATCAGGCAAAGACCGTATGGAAGTACCATCACCAAACACGGCCTGTGACCATGGGGGAGAACGGCTCCAAGGAAAAGTGGGCGCAAGCTGACCCCATAATCAGTGTCAACATGGAAGCACTGGGAAGAAAGCCCTGAGTGATGAGATGTCAGTGTTCTCCAAGATTGGCCTTGCTTGGTATCTTATGCCCACATGGCTTCTGGGGTAGCTGTTAGACCCAGGCCTGCCAGCCTAGAGAACTGCTAGAACAGGCAGAGTTTGTGCCCCAGGCTGGACAACTGTCGTATTCCCTGTAAGCCCTGTTAGAGGGGCTGCACCCCAAGTGCAACCTGACCTGTGTCCAAGGTGGGCAACTCAATTCTTAGATACTGAATGGGTCCCCTGGCATCAATGCTTAAACACCAGCAGCCCTTACAACCATAGATCACGTCTTAAGGATGAGGAGGAGGTTCTCTGGATGCACAGGCTTCAATCCAAATGGGCTAAATATGCTGCAGCACAAACCCAGACTGCAGCCTGAAGGGTTGGAGCCTTGCATTCAGACAAAGCATGCAAACATGACCATGGGCTCAGGGATATACCTGTGCTCCAATGTGTACGAGTTATGGATGGAAACCTCCTATGCCTCCTGGGAAGCACCACTCAAACTTTTGCTAAACGCTTCCCTGAAGGCCCACAAGGGCTGAGAAGCTGTGCATCACCAGCAGTAAAGTGAACGCCCAGACTCCCACTTCCTGTCTTGGGGAGCCATCTGGAAAGGCCACCCCCACCCTGATGACTAGCGCTTCAGACCAGTTCTTGGCCCAAGTGATCCTAGACAACTGTTGAAACTTAAACTGTTCCTTGGCCAAGCAAGGAAGCGATTGTCCCCTCTAGGGAACCACATGCTATGTGTACATCCATCACTCCAGAGAACCCAAAAAGGGTTTGTTCCACATGGCAACATAAGCCTAGGTGGTATTGAGTCACACCTGGGTGTCCTCCAACATCCCAGCTCAGCCAAATGGCTTTGATTTGTTTTTATGTTTAGACGCCAGGTTCTTGGGACACTGTTTCAGAAACAGATTCCAAATCCTTTTCTGTGTGCGGTGGCATACACATCCTAGTCTCTGCAGGGTGTATACTATGATACACAGCCAGGCTGTCCTGTAGGCTTTAAAATTCCCTTGGTGCAGGCAGTTCACCTTGGCCACAGCCAATGCATGACAGGGTCAATTGCGTTAGGAGTCATGGAGAATCCATAGTTGGTTGCTGCCTGGCTCTGGCCAGGGTTGACCAAGGTAGAGGAGCACCTCTGTGGAGTTCTGCTTTAACCTCACCTTACCACCAAATTTCTCAACTGTCCTTGCTACCACAATTATTTAATGGACCCAACAGAAAGTAACCCAGGAAATTAGGACACCTCATGCCAAAAGACCCTTAAATAGGGGAAGCCACCTTGTGCACGTCTGCTTCTTGCTACAGAAGACTGCCGTCTGCCTTCTCTGGTCACCCTGCCCAGCTAGAGGATCTGTGAGTAACAGAACATTTAAACTTTTATACTGAGTTTTTTTCATTGAAGCTATGCCTCCAATCTGACCTCTGACTGTGGGGCCACCCCAGAGGGACCCAGCAGGTGAGTTCCTGCCATGCACTTCTGTCTGGACCTCTGGTGGCTGCTGGGGACAGTGGCTTCCAGCTAAGTTAATAGAGAAACTCGAGCAGTTTCCTTCTAAACACATGGCCATTGACATGACCAATAGAGATAATCGCAGCCCTTTAGAACATTCTTTTGAGAAAAGTTTATTCAGGTCCTTAGTCTTTTTTTCATTCAGGTTGTTTGTTTTTGCTATTGAATTGATTGACTTCCTTATGTATTCGGATATTTACCCCTTCTACCATGGTAGGTTTTGCAAATATTTTCTCTCATTTTCTGGGTTATCTTTTCACTCAGTTGACTGTTTTCTTTGCTGTCCAGATGCTTTAGCATTCGATACAGCCCCACTTGTCTCTTTTCCCTTTTATTGCCTGTGACTTTGGTGTCATAGCCCAGAAATCATTCCCACAGCAATGTCAAAAGCTTTATCCTTATATGAACATAGTTTATGGTGTCGGGTGTTACATTTAGGTCTTCAATTCATTCTGAGTTCATGTTTTGCAATCAGAGAGATAAAAATCAGAGATAAAAATTTAAATACATACATATAGAAAATCAGGAGGTAGTATACACTAAAAACATACAATTGTTAATTGTCATTCAGGTCTAAATAGAGCTGGAAATAATAAATATTTTTTCACACCTAGACAACTCTATGTCACCGAGCTTATTTCATCTTTAGCCTGATAAAATCATTGTCCTCTCCACCCTGAGTCGTGCAGGAGACTACTCACCCCATAGCCTCAAAAGCCTCTACATGAGGATGGTAAGTCACTTGAGTCCTGCAGTGAATTACTCTTGATTCCACTGGAACTCAAACAGGACACCAGAATCTAGACCTCCAGAGAGCCGCAGGACCCATCTTCAAAAAATAAGAAGCATTTGTTCCCTAAGCTTGTTGAATGAAAGTGCAATTTCTACTCTTTTTGGAATGCTAAAAAGTAAAAAATATTATTTAAGCAGGTGAAAACAGGAGTAGCATAGCAGGGCCTTTCTTGTCATTATCAGGTCCAACCTAGCACAGACATTAAACGTACAGATTCTTATGAGCATGAAATTGGGAAGACAGGAGCATTCAAGGGACGTTGAGACCCATGGGCCTCTCTTATAAAATTCAAACCTCCTCTCACTGAGGGTCGAGAAGGTTTCTTGCCTCTGAGCCTTCTCCAAGCAGAGCTATAAATCCGGGCTGGCTCCTCATTCCCCAAACATCCGCTCCTGCTCTCCCTCCTCCAGGTGACCCCAGCCATGAGGACCCTCATCATCCTTGCTGCCATTCTCCTGGTGGCCCTGCAGGCCCAGGCAGGGTTACTCCAGGCAAGAGCTGATGAGGCTGCTGCAGCTGAGAAGAAGATTTCAGCGGACAACAATGACGTGGCTATTTCCTTTGCATGGGACGAAAGCTTGATTCCAAGGAATTCAGGTGAGAGACAGCAGCATGCAGGGCTGCCTTGTGTAGAGGGATGGACGGGAGATGGGTTCCAGAATTGGGTCTCAGCAGTCTATGTCACTTAGGTGGCTTCATTTAGCATCTCTGGGCCTTGATCGTCTCATCTATAAATTATACAGCGAGCCAAATAAATCTAAGAAATTTTATTTCTCCAAAGACTTGATTCCAAGAAATGTCTGTGAAATTCACTAGGTTTAAGATACAAAGAGACAGACCGACTAGTTATTTCTGGATCTAAACTGGTAGACTTTTTTTAAAGAGAGTATTTTACTCTATCTATAGAAGAGCGTTTAAAAACTGGATGTGTTCAGGTGTGTGTGTGTGTGTGGTGGGGCAGGAGTGCAAAAATGAGAGCAAAAAGAATGAGTCCCAAATCCTGTGTGACTAGCACTGCTCTGTGTATTTATTCCTATTGACTGAGGTTGTTCTTGCTACCACCTGCAAGGCAGCCAATGTCACGGATCAGCCAGCATGTGACTTCTCCAAGATTCTTTTTAATACCCACTGCTGACCCTGTACTCAATTTCTGATGCTCTCCCTGTCCAGGCTCAAGGGAAAACATGGCCTGCTTTTGCAGAATACCGTCATGCATTGCAGGAGAACGTCGCCTTGGAACCTGCCTCTACCAGGGAAGATTGTGGGCATTCTGCTGCTGAGCTTGCAGAAAAAAGAAAAACGAGCTCATAGTTTGCTTTGAGAGCTGCGGGGAATTGCTGTTACTCCTGTACCGTGTCCTCAATTTCCCTTCCTCACCCTAAATAAATGCTTTCTAGCAAGCTCTCTGTGTTTACACCTCTTTAATGTGTGATATGTGTCTGTGTGAACACGCTTGGGATCCTGGTACCAAAAAGCTAAATCAAAATTTGAACAAAATAAAATTACAAATTCTAGAAATTTCAAGCAGGAATTCGGGCCCAAATTGACATGAAAGCTCAAATGATGCCACTGATCTCCCCAACCACTGCTCTGCCTTTTCACTCTGCCTCATTTTCTCTGGATCCACTCTCAAAGAACTCCCATGTGCTGGGCAGACAACCAGTGTCAGCTTAAAGTTTATGCAGTCATGAAATTGTTACTTCTCCAGGAAAACCTCCATCTTCTGTGCTAAAGCACTGGAGTTTAATTGAACGCAGCCAGGCCACACATTTGCCTTTTAAGACATAGGGTTACATGAGATCCATTGAAACAACCTTAATTAAGAAGGAAAAGTGTTGTTTTCAAAGATGGGATGCATGGAACAGAAGGCACAGCAGCCCGCACTGAGAGGTCTCATTACGAGCACCTTCCAGCCACGACTACTAAGACCTGGATTTCACACCCGTAAAGTCGCCTTCACTCCCAGAAAACGCAGAGGCACAAATGCTCCGCAGCACTTTACGGTGCGCACTGTCTTGTGTTGCCTTAAAGCTGCCAAGAACCTGATGCTTCCTGGAAAATACAGCTTTGGAGGGGAAAAGAGAGAGCGAGGGAAAACATTTCACCAGGAGCATGGTAGCTTTCTTGTTGCTGCAGGGTGCTGAGGCAGCTCAGGGGTCCAGGCACCCCACTGAGACACTGCATGGATAGGGAAGCCCATGCAGATCCCAGGGAGGACAGAGTGGGTAACAATCCCAGACTTCTTGTTTAGATGGTGAAGGACACAGATAGGGAGTCAGGCTGTGAAGGCCAGGAGCCTTCTTTGGGTTCCTGTAACTGCCACTGACTCTGACTCATGTGCTCCCTGAATTGACTTTCCATATTATTCTGAATTATGGACTGGGCCAAGATGACTGCATCTTGGGGCATCTGCAGAGTTCCACCTAGCTTTCTCCCAAGCATCTGAGGACTCAGCTAAAACTTCACTTTGTCACTGAGGTCTTTTCTGATCTCTCAACTTTAAATTGCCACAAGTTCCCCGGGGAGACAACCATTTCTCTGATTTTCTTTACTGCTAACTCTAAAATTGCAATAATTCACCTTCTGTACACTTCACTGATTCTGTGGAACATATGCCTCCTGACTCTAGAAGGGAAGCTGCGTGTTTTGCTCATTGTTGTACCAGAGTGCACAGAATACTGTATAACATGTAGTAGGGGATTAATAAATTAATTCTGATCACATTTATTAATTACATCTAATAGCATATAACAACATAAAGGTGTTATTTATTAATTGTTATTACTAAATTGCATAGGAAAAAGCTAAATTCAGCAGAGGTAGAGCAGCCCATGTTTCTAGACAGCACACCTTTAAAAAACAAAATAAATAAAAACATACAATGCTGAAAGATGAAAAAATATCATAGGTACGATTTGGCATCATGAAGATTTAGGACTTTAGAAGAAAGGGGCCATTCTGGCCAGAAGTGTCAAAAAGATTTCATGTGAATCTTGAAGCAAAACATGACTATGTTTAAAACATGGAGAGATTAAAAGAAGAGGTAGAGTAAAATGTCTGGTGGACAGAACGGCATCAGGGAAAGAGATATACAGGATGGGGTTTGACCTCTACTGAATTTAGGGGCATGGATATTATCAGAGAGAAGGATGGAGTCGAATTCAGGCTGATGTGCTGAGAAGCAGCCATCCGTCCAAGGGAAAGGGCCAGACGAGGGCGGACCATCCCTGCTCCTTCATGTGGGTAAAGGCACACTGGGAGCACCACATGTGGCTTCTGCTACTGCAGTCTAGGGTGGGCAATGACAGCTTCAAACTCTAAGGACAGAAAATGCAGAGAGAGACATGACGGTCTTCCAACAGCCAGGGCAGCTTGCTCAGCCTCAAATGAGGCACAGCACTGTTTACTGGGAGGCATGTACATTCTACTTTTGGTAATGATGTTCAAGACATTTTCTACCTTAAATGAGCCATTCATGTGGCAGGACAATAAAATAAGGAATAAGTCAGATGCCTCATCCCTTTAAATGTGATCACTCAAGGGGATAGCAGCGTCAGTGGGAGCATAGGCACTCACTCCAATAAGCACAAACTGGCACACACAGATGGCCCAATCACACTGCAAGACTTCCCACCACCAACCTCCAGTGCATTCCCACTGATTCACCCAGGGATCAACCTTCTTTGGCTTTGGCTTCAGGAAAGTTGAGGCCAGCGGCTGTCCCTATTGCAACGTTTGACTCCTATTTCAAGAGTCTTCAATAAGCACTTCCTTCACGTTTCTAAAAAGTCTTGGTGAGTTTTTTCTTGTACAATAAATGAAATAGGCTGCTTTTGCTGGTTCTTTTCTGCTTTTCTACACTCTACTTACAAGCAAAATCAGGATGAAAGGTATCTGAAAAGTACTCATTCCATTTACGACTGTCTGTATTTTTTTTTCTTTTTCACTAAAAAACAAATAACTCATTAAGAAACTCAGGGAAAGAGCTTACTCTAACATTTCCTGGAAGTTACCCTCCCAGCCCCTCAGTGCTTTGTCATCCCAGATGGCGGTGACCCACCTCCTCCTTGTTCCAGCCCTCCACCCCAGGGCCACTCCCTACCTCTTGCCACCACCTGGAACTCCTCCAGCTCCGAACATCAACGACGAAGCTCCCCATCCCTGACTCACCTGCTGTCCTTCCAGCCTCTCACATAGACATCCATCATTCCCTGCTGATCAGCATCAATAAGGCTGTTCTCCCACAGGACTGTGCATGAAAATGACCCAGAGTCTGTCCCCCAGGCAGCACCCCGGACACCCGTCATCTGCCCTCATCTCCTGTTCCTAGGCACCGCACCATCTTTGCCTCAGGTTCTTTAAGCTGGTAATTTTTAAAAAATATTTTTCAGCATATTAGTTGAGTTTTGCATTCAGATGTAGGAAACCACGACAAGCTGAATTAATATTTTGACTGCCACCTGATAGTCAAGAAAGAATCCTGGCTTCATAAAATGCCTGATCCAAGGACTCAACGCATGAGTCACCTTGCTGTCTTTACCTTTTTTCCCCCTTTTTTCTCTTGATCTTAACCTGGGTTCTCTGCCCAGGTGACAGTCGTGTGAATCGTGGTCATCTCCCATGGCCTTTGTAGCAGATCTCCTTGGTAAAATTCCTACTTCTTTCTCCACTGTTTCAGCCAACTCCTGAGTTCCATGCCCTGCTCCGAGTCTGTCACTGAGGGGAGAGGTTGAGACTCCACCTGGATCCCACACTACCCCTGCTCCCCACAGGAAGAATTCAAACTAAGAATGGGTGAGAGGGGGTTCTTCAGTCACTCCAAAGAGTTCACAACTCCATGTCCCCACCGCAACGGGCTCTTTGTGACACTTTGGGAACAAACTGAGAAGGTTCGTCCTATTTCATCAATATTTTAGAGAAGCTGAGATTACACACGAAACGTGTGCAAGTCCAATGTCTCAGCAATACTGTGAAAATGCCCTGTGTTCATCTAGGGCTGTGTGAAAAGATACCACAAAACGTAATGGATTAAAACAGCACGATCAGGTCTTCATTCACACATTTGCAATTGGGGTGTGACCTTCTCCACAGGCATCAGAGGAGAGGTGCTACTGGATCTGGAAAACCTCAGGGCTGACACTCACGCATAGGTGGCAGGCAGTGCTGGCTCAGCGGGAGCTCTGACGGGGCAGAGGATGAGACCCCATGATGCGCTGAGGCCAGCCAGGTCATGCCGGTGCATGAAAGGAGATTCGTGTGACACTTTTTATCCCATTCATAGCTAGGGGGATTTCAAACCAGAGAGATTTACAAACGCTGCAGATCAGACTTTTGTTTTTCCCAGAAAGCTGGTTGCTGTGTTCTCTATCTCCTCCTTGCTGGTGGGCTCAGTTCCTCTCCCTTTGCAATACTTAGACTTCCTCCAAGCATGGTATCTGGGTTACAAAGTCACCAGTGACCACAGTATATGTGGGGTGCTGGAAAAAAATACCCTACATCAAGTGACTTACAACAACAGAAATATATTTCTCAGTGTTCTTGAGGCTGAGAAGTCCAAATCGAGGTGCCAACAGATGTGGTGTCTGCTGAGGACCAGATTTCTGGCTCATAGATTGTACCTTCTCACTGCCTCCTCACCTGGGTGAAGGAGTGAAGGAGCTCTCTGGGGCCTCCTCCTCAGGGGTACTAATCCTGTCAATGAGGACTCCACCCTCCTGACCTTATCACCTCCCAGAAAGCCCCACCTTTTCATGCTACCACCCGGGTGTTGGGATTTCAACATACGAATTTCAGAGGGACAAAAATATTCAGGCTGCAGCACCATTCAATACAGAGGAAGTGAAAGATACCAACTTCTTAGGACCTTAGCCTGGCAATTGGCATGGTGCTAAGATGTCACCTAACCTAGATTCAACAGGAAGGAATTTCACCTCCATCTTTATGTGAAAAGAGTCAGGGATTTAGGGCCACATTTTCAAACAGCTCAAGGAAGTTATTCCGTTCTGGTTTATTGTAAAATTTCTGCAGACGCCAACACCAGACACATAGAGAGCCTGTGAGAGGCAGCTGGGAAGGGCAGACAAAGGGCAGGGAACTTGGAGTTCCTGCCTATCCCAGCTGGATGCAGACCTGGGAGTCTCAGCACCAGGACCCTCCCTGAGAGAAGGTGGACAAAGGGCTGAGGGAAGGGCAGGGTGGTGCACTCTGAGGAGCTGGGAGATGCATGGTCCTCCTCAGAGCTCATCCCCTGCCCCACCCTAACATGCATGCTGTGTTCCATGGCTACCCTTCCCTACCAGGTCAAAACCATATCCCCAGGGCCCTGTCCAAGGTCCACACACACTGTGTCTGCTGGGGCCACCGGACACCTCAGCATGTGTGAGAATATCCTTGCTGCTCCT